TCACCTGTTCCTCATTTACATTGAAAGAAGCTGTTAACACCTTGACTACATTAACACAGTAATGCTCCTGCAGACCAAAATAGCTACTGATCCTGAGTAACCAGATCAGGACTGGAAAAGGGACCAACTTTCTAGATGATGGAAGTTGAGCCATGGGAAAAAAATAAAAGGAAGTTCTCTAGGAAGCATGATTTGGGGGACAATTATTTTTTCAAAACTTAGGCCAGATATACTTAATCACTGCCATATACAGGGAGCTTGTTGTTACACTATTAGGCAGAGGTCACATTACAGTAAGTACAGCACAAGCACAGAGCACCACAAATGCTTCATGCAGTAAATACAGAAAAACTATGGTGGGGGGCAAAAAAACCATACACCTGTGCTGGCTGTGTTTTCTAAAGAGCATTTTTGGGCACAAGCTGAGTTTTTATAAGCACTCTTTCTCTCGAGATTCAAGACTAGGATAGATTTTGGCAAACTTGGTCTGACTGAGGAGAGTAACTGCAGAGACATTTCAGCGATCATTTCTGGCTATGAAGCTTAAGAGTTTGGCTTGTACTTTTCCAGATGGGAAAGACAGAATGGTTTCTAGCTGTATGGATTTGGGAGTTTGAGCAGCTTGAATATACTTCAGCTTAACAAACCAATATATTCCCAGTGAAAAAGATGCCCAGCAAAACATCAATAAGCCATTTTTCAGCTCCTTCAGATTTAATAACATACCAATTCCTAGAGAATAGTTACATTGTTCTTCTGTTCTTAAGTCTGGTTTTGATAACAACCAAACTTTTGATAACAACACCTGAAGGTGTTCTCCTCATTCTGAGATCTTAATTATGTCTTCCTACATCACATTCCTCTGCCTTGTGGTGCATTCTCCCTTTCAATAATATACACTTCCAGCTGAGATGAATTAAATCAAAGAGGAACTGGATGCACGTTTTGCATTGAGTTGCAAACCAAACCAACCAACTTGCAGGTTGTCTGCAAGTTAATAATTTTAGTATTAATGTAATCACAGCTGCTACACGAAGCTTTTAATGAACACAAGCAGTAAAAGTTGCAGGATATGGCCCACATACTTGTTTCAGTGTCTGCAGCTTGCCAGGAATTGCATTTCCAGGAACTGCATTTCCACGTAGTGGAGATGCCTACAGTTGCCTTGATGCCCACAATGGCTGCATACAGCAGTACTCACTCCAGGATGGATTCCAGGCATTTGTTCCGTTCGTGAAAGTTGCCTGTGATTCAGCCATGATGATTTGATTCATACATTTTCATTCACTCCCAGCCAAGCCACACTTTGTCACCGTGGTTGTTTCACAGCTGCTATGGCCAAGGGCAAATTGACAGCAGCAGGCTCCTTTCCCAGCATCACCTCTCCCAACACCAGCAGCTTACCCTGCAGGGCCAAAGGCTCCACAGCTCTGCAGTCAGTGCTCTCACCACCTTACCTGTCACGTTCTGAAAACCACTTTAATGTGAAAAGGGGCAAAAGCAGTGCTCTGATGTAATAAAAAGGGCTGTTTATTATAAAGGACCACTACACTTCAACTGAACCCCTCTGGGCAACACCACGGGTGACATTCTTTACTCACATGCCACCTGAGTGGAGATTTCCCTCTTGGAAGCCACCTCTGAAGCTCCTGCTTCCTGTAAAATGCAAGAGAAGCCAGACACCCATAGTAGCTGATTCAGAAATTGCTGTAAATCAGATGACTTCCACAGCTTGTTTATCTTCAAGAAAACTGTCTAGCTCTCAAGTCTTCCTCTTTCATGACAATTTTACAGTTTTGACCATTAAACAAGCACAAGGTATCTTCATGACAAGAAACCACAATTTATAGGATAGAGAAAGAAACATGTGAGCCAGACCTTGGAACACACTTCTTGCACTCCAGTGGGAATTCTGAGCAAAGCATCTAGGTGGCCGTCATCTCTTTGCAGCATTACCCACTAAAGCTTTACATAGCAGCAAGCATAGCATTTATATATAAAAAAAAAAGTTACAAGGATCATTTTCTTTTCAGTTATCTAAAACATTTAGGATAATAAAGTAAATAAACCAGTAAAGCAAATCTCTCCTTAATCTAGATTCTGTACAGATTTAAACTAGCAACTCATTTTGGTCATTTGCTACTCATACTCCTTCATCTTTTAATCACTTTACCAGACAGTGAGCTTCATTTTCATAGACAATATCCATTTTTATGAGAGCTCATTATTTCATTCATACCTTTGCTTTTGCAGTTTCTTGGCTTAGACTTCTTATATCCACATTTCCTAGCAATTCCCTTTGCTTAACATGCTCTCTTCCTTTTCTACACAAAAATTTGTATGAAGTCTGCCTCATCTGAGCAGTGCAAGACAAGCCAGTTACTACTACAACAAGGTTTCCAAAGTCCTCAGAGTTTCAGCTTCAGAGCTGGGGGAGACTACAAGGCTATTCACTGACACTATTTACGAACTGATTCACTTGGGCTCTTCTGGCCACTGAATGAACTTGCTTTTCCATGTCAGACCATTCTCAGCATGGAACATTTCCACCTTCCATTCTGCGGTGCTTTCTTCTAGCACCCAAACCCAAACCATTTGTATCACCAGCATGTGGAACTCATATTTGATTTCCTTGACAGTTCTACCTACAGAAAAACATTTGCAATATAATAAGGGCTTTGCAAAAGTGTTGTCATGGTCATGTATTTGAGCTGTGCTTTTCTTACTTGCCAAACAGTGGATGGTCTTGCAAGCAATAATTACCCAGCAATAAACACACATGATAAAAATCTTTTCCAGGACAACTGGCACCTTCCCAGAGTTCAGGGAAATTTTACTTAGCAGTTGTGATTTCAACTCCCATTTCCTTTATATTGACAGTATGGCACTGTGCTTCCAGATTACACAGATGGTGACAGAATAGGAGCTTGACTATACCAAGATGGAGGTCTGTAAGCCCTTGGCAAGAATCTCTCTTTGGAAAGAAAGGGTATATGTCTTAATACTAGCCAGCCCTTCCTTACTGACACCAATATGCCACAGCAAGTTCAAAGAAGGGTAAATGGGACGCAGCATTTATAAATATGTGGAGCTCTTGGAGAATCCAGCTGTAAGACTCAAGCAAAGTGCACAACTGCAAAACCCATTAGCATCACTGGGGCTTAACAACGTGAGAATGTTAAATAACAGCAGTAGCTGCAGGCATCTTGATGAAAAGCTACAGCAAGGAGCAGTAAGACACAACTAGATTTCTTTAATTTAATGTCTTTTAAACTGCTACTTGTTGTAAATCTCCAAGGCAGCCTCGGTTTCCTCTCTGAACTCTTTATGTAGTAGCAGCGCCTTAAACCACATAAAAACCAAGTGGGCCAAGTTCTCTCTGAGAACATTGCATAGAGTTCAGATCTGTCTGAAAAAGTGTGAACTCATAGGCTTTACAAACCAGGAGTTAGATTTCAGTCTCGAGTCATGACATCAGTCTACCAGTAAACTTCTATGACCTCTTATATTGGATTTACCTGGAAGACAAGTCAAATAAAATTTAGCCCAAAGTTTTTAAAGACCCCTGCTGAAAGGTAAAGTCTCTTTTTATTCCACAGATTGGGAAATTTTGTCAAACTCTTTCACAAAGGTCACAAGAACAATAACCTTATGCCCTACAGCCAGAAAAGCACCTAAGAGGCATCTCATGACTTGACACTTAAAAGACAAGTGCAAGTGATAGGTGATAGTCCAGAAACATAACACAGATTACTTCATCAGAAACTTATCTTATAAATAAAATATCTTATACGTAATGTATAAGCAACACCAGTGCTCCAACAGCCAGAATATCAACTTTATGTCACCCCATGATTCAAAAGGAAAACAGAACTCAGTAATGCTTTGAGCAAACACAGGTGAGACAGTTCTTATTGCAGCAGATGAAGAAAGGACAAAGCCAGGGCAGAGAGGACACTCAGAGAGCCACACATCTGTGACAGAGAAGACACAAAACAGTAGAAGTCTCTGGTAGGAATGACAACAGAACTGAGAAGAGGAGAACTGCTCTGATGTCACCTGGGAGGGCTATTGGAACAGCTGCAATACAAACATAGAAAAGAGGGAACCACAAAGTTTGAGAACTATCATCTTGAAAATCACATAAAAGTTTCAAGGTGAGGATATAATGGAAAGTTTACTGCCCATACACTAAAGACCTTTCGAGAAGATTAGTAATCCTGGGCAAAGCCTGGTTCTGCCAGACAAAATCTTAAGCTAGTCTGAAACAGGGGAATGATTTCCTTTGGCAAATCTTCATCACAGACCTCACCAGTTTCTGCACCAAATGCCAGACTTGTGTCTTGTACCTTGCCTTCTTTGATATAGGAGGTGACATACATCTACATGTATTTCTTAATTAAACAAAACCTATACCAAAGCAAGCAGAAAAACCTCTCCTGAACATGCTTATCTTACTTGTGAGAAAACAACCAACCCTTGACAGTCATTTTACAAACTACTACTCCTGGGAAACCTTCATGATATACACAGTGCAGTCACCATGTCCCAGAAAGAGCAGAGTTAGATTTAAGCAAATGGTGCAGGTGCTGGTAATAATCTATCTGTACTGGTATGAGCTGCATCATAACTATTGTGTCCTACTGAGGATTGATGATTGCAGCATAAGAATTTACATGGCACAAGAAACTTACACAGAACAGAAATATTGTGTCTTGGTATTTATGCAACTGCATAATATAGGCTGCCCGGTTTTTTTAAACATCTTTGTGTTGTTCCATAGGAGGAAGAGCAAACACACATACAAACACCCAGTTTAAATGCTTATGCTCCCAAAACTCTCCATTGGACCTGTCCCTCTCCATTTTTCAGACTGAACTGGCAGGAAGGCAGTGCAGCACAGCAGAACTTCCATATCAGTGTCTGAGAAGTTCCCCTCCTCAGCAGTCTTGTGATTTGAGATGCACACAGAACAGAGCACTTCTGAAGCAACTCTTTAATATTTTAAAAGAGAATTCTTTATTCAGGGAATGTGCAAGAACTCCTTCCAAACTATATGCAAAAATAAACCCTGAAATTCTAATGAAGATACAGAAGTAAAAAAAAAAAAAAAAAAAGAGGCAGCACAGCAGCGCTTCAAAATACATAATTCACAAGTTTAAAATTCAAGCATTCCCATCCTATGCTGGGAGCTCTCTTAAAATATTAACAATCAAATTTCTCCGGTAAGTGTATGGCGTATACTTTATTCTGAACCAGTGCCTTGGGAAAAGGTTACCACTGGGGGCATACATTTTCATCCCTTCTGTGCCCATAAGACCACGAAGAATCCTGTTGCGGGACAAGATTTTATCATAAAATTCCACCCCACCTCTGGCGTAGTCTTTGGAAACCATGGCTGCCCTTCTGTCAGCCTTGCAGTCCAGGTGATAGGTCAGAGCTTCACAAGAGAGGCAATAGCAGAGCAGGCCACCAGCTGCAGTTATGATGTTACAGAGGCTGCGAAGGATCACAGGGCCATGAGATAAACCCAGAAGGAGCTTTATACCTCTTGTACAGAGAAATGTACCAGCTAAGCAAGTTGGAGCCACAACTGCACTTTTTAAAGGGCTGCCATTCTGCAAATACACAACTTCTCTGGCAATGGCAAACTTCTGAGCTTGGAGTGAAAACGTGAGAGCTTCCCTCAAAGCAACACCTTCGCTGCTCTCCCAGTCTACTTCCTTGCCATTGATCACAACAACATGGTTAACTATTCCTTTTTTATCCTCATCTGTGCTATCAAAGTTAGGTGGGATGCCCACCAAAGAGCCTGCAGGCAGCCAGGGAATTCCAGCACTCACAGGGTGGAAGCCAGAAGCTGCAAAGGCTCTGTAGGAGTCAGTGGACTTCACAGCAGTATCTTCAAGGACATCCTGAAACACACCACAGAGCCTCTCTGAAAGCTCAGCTGGCTGCCCCTCTGACCAGCACTCGTGCAACAGTTTGAACGTCTGCTCAGGAAACACATGATAGGAAAGGTTTGTGCCAAACAGTCCCACGCAAGAAACGCCCAACACAGTGATCTTGTGCTTCTTTAACCACACAGATGTCTTCTGCAGGAACCGCACTGCCATAGTCAAATCCTAACCTGCTTATAACACAAAATCAGGAATTAAAGTGTGCATAAATAGCTCTCTCATCTCTCTAGCACTTAAAAAAAGAAGAAGATAAACTAACAAAAAAAAAAAAAAAACAAAACAAAAACCCAAAGCAAAAAACATGAGAAGAAACAGAGCACAATAACCAAAGAAACATTCCTTTACATTAACAAAACGCAAAACACCTTTACAGAGAAAGTGGTTCGCATTAATTTTTGGGCCTTGGAACACAGGATGATTGATATGAGGAATTAACTTCTCCCTCTCCTCCAGTAAATCAATTTACCGCAATAAAGACAATACTAAAGCCACACTTCCTCTTCCCCAACAATCAATACACACTCTGTATTTACCCAACCTACTTGTCTAGTCCTTGCTAGCACAATCTACTCTTGCTCTCCACTACACAGTCTACAGATATTGAGGTCAGAAAGAGCCAATAATTAGATCCATCTACACTAACATCCTCTACAGTACAGTTCCAAAAGTTTTAATCAGTAGCCTGAGCACTAAATTCTTGAGTTTAACTACAACTTCCAAAACAGGATCACATTTTGATTTGAAAAGTTTTAGGAGACAGAATTTTCCTTTAGGAGTTTGTTCTAATTGATAGTCAATCTCATTATTAAAAAAAACAAACAAACAAAACCAAAACCAAGAACCAACAATAAAACCAAACCCCAAACAAAGTATGTCTTTTTTCTAGTTTGTTTTTTTTTTTCAGATTTCAACTTCCAGGCAGTGGTTCTAGCTTACTCAGCAAAAAGCTATTTTCAGAAAGCAGCATGCTTTCAGTAGCTACTTTAAAAGTTTGTCTCTGAAATAATCTCTCTGACAAACAGAATGTGCAATCCAGAGCATAAACTGGAACAGAAATTGTTTCAGGGCAGACTTGTTGTGACTCTTTAAATAAGCAAATAAACTTAAAAACTTTCAAACCTGCCAACTCCTTCAGTTCAAGAGTCCTGCTTCCCTTGGGGAGCATCAGTTCTTTTTATGGTCCAAGCCATATGACATGCTCTGGAAAGCTCCAATCTTTTTTTTTTTTTTAAAATTCTATTGACTACAGAATTCCACCCTAAAATGATGCTACTGTGAAAATACAGAAGTGAATTGGGTGCCTAAACTCAACAAAAATCAGTGAAAACTGGATGCCCCTGTTTGCATCTGCAGAGTCTCTTCTCTCAGGGCTTTAACACACGAGCTTCATAGAATCTTGCTGCAGCTGTTAAAGACATGAGTATTTCCAGCTGTCCTTACAGGAAGCCAAGGTGGCAGAAGGAAATTGTGCTTTGATACCACAACCAAAGTCTTACTGTGGAGTACCATCAAAGGTGGGTTTCAGCTATGCTGCTGGGCTTTGTATGGCAGCAGCTGAAACAGAGACATATGCTCTCTTCTTCCACTCACACTGAACAAGAACGTCTCACAGAGCGGTAGACTGGACAACTGGGGTCTGTAACATCATCAGACAGCACTATATGAGATGCCAGGATACACCAGTCATGATCAGCAGCAAATGAGTATTAACCACAGGGAAACAAAAAGGGATTAATTTAAAGGTGGTGTTTTAATCATGGGTTATTACTACTCCTTCCTGTGAAGATCTTTCAGACTGTAAACTCACCAGGGGAAAAATAATCTTATTTAATGTTTATGCTGCACTGAATACAAACTGAGTGCTTAATAAAAACAATGATGTATGTAAGCATACAATAATTTAATATGTATTTCTTAGTGTAATAACCGGTGGGATTCTTACATTCAGCTGAAGACCGGAGGTGGTGATTTGTTTGACCACCGGAGGTGGTGATTTTTTAAGAAAAACATGCTAAAGAGCCAAGAGCTTGGATGAAACCCAATTTCAGGAGAAAGACTCCTTGATAAGAGAGCTAAAACCCAGAAAATGGTAATACTAAACCCAAATGACCTCTTTGAAATTTTATGATCTCTTTGACAAACCTGGTAGTCTAGATCTGTTTTAAAAGGTCATGCCATTTACAGTGGGAGAGGGCAGCACTTCTACAAGGATGACTGTAGGGAGACTATCACTTGATCTGCATGTGAAGCTGGGCCAAGCACTTTCCAAGTTTCTGCTGTTAGTGTCCTCTCATTAAAGCTGGCCAACATCCTTTTAAGATTAGGAATGCTTCAAGGAGAAAATTCGCCCCTCAGCTTATGTCCACACCAGTGTGGGGAAGGACAGACCACAGTGAAAACTCTACTCTCCTTTCTTGCATGACCAAATGGTGCTTGCCAAGCACACGGGGCACTGAATACTCTTCAACGGGATGCTGGGAAGCACATCTGGACAGGCAGGCAGCCCACGGGTGAACCACAGGAAAGCAGGGCAGGAAACCCTGTGCTTATCTATACACTTCTCCTAAACAGCCATAATGGCAGGATAAACCTCAATGCATTAACACTATTTTCCTGCTTCAGTCATAAAAATTGTAACAGTTGCTAAGTATCTTTTTTTATTATTTTGTAATTAAATTATCCGCTGTGCAGGCATGGTTTCGAACCTTTGTGGATAGACCCCTTGAAGGCCAGGCTATGTGCTTGACTGGATTATGCCTAACAGTCCTGCCACACACCTAATGCAAGAGTAAGCAGGAAATGCCAGACAGTATTTGTTTTCTCATAATAGTCAATACTCAGGAAAATAGAAGGAAAATTGCCCTCGATACCTTATAGCATTTGTGCTTTCAAACCTTCCCTGAGGGTCAGTGCAGCCGCTCAGATCCTGAAGAAATCCCACTGCAGCCCTAACTGTATATGGCAGCTTTATTTTTATTCATAAACTTTGTGCTATTTATGTATGAGGAGGCAACCGGAAACTACAAGGCAATTTATACGGTCCATATCCTGCAAATTTAATCATTTAGTTCCCATGAAGCCACCACAAGGTTTACAAAGCATCCTCCCCCAACTGCTGCAGTATTATTTATCTCTGTGGTGTTATGGGCACTTAAATTCTCACTGAACTGTAATAGCTACAGCTTAAACCGGGGATAGCTAAGCATGTTTTGCCATAACACGTGTGCGTTATCATGGCATTTATTGTTTTATAATCACACGTTAGCCGAGGGGAAAGCCCAGCTTAAAACACTATCACTCAGGACACAGGGCGGCTCCGGGGCTGGGGATGTCACGAAAAATAAAAATATAGAAGAGAGGGGCGGCTGAAATCGGCTGTAGAATCCCGAGGCCCCGCCGAGGAGAAACACCCACCCTCCCCACGCCGCGGTCGCACCTACCGAGTGTGCCGGGGCGAGGCGGAGCCGCGGGGGGCCGGGGCCGGGAGGGCCGGGAAGGGCCGGGAAGGGGCGGGCGGCGGCGCCATGGCGGGGAGGGGGTGGTTCCCTCAGAGGGGACAGAGGTTGAGCCGTGGCGTTAACCAAATGGGCGGGTCAGGAGTTTCGATGGGGGACTAAGATCGCTCGACGGGGAGGTCCGACCTGCTGCCCGTGCCCCGCAGGCGAGGAGCAAGGAGGCAGCGCCAAGGGCAGCCGCTCTCCCCGAGTCATAAATTAACTGTGTCCTTGTGCTCTGTGCCGTAACTCCTGCTGTCCTTCCTGCAAAACACTTTATTACATATGTATTATTGGTACTGCCCTCCCCACTGCGGGGCAGGAGTGCTTGCCGGCAAGGCGGCCAGTGGCATATCTGGCATCCGTCATGCAGGATTCGTTTTCTCTGTTATTCGTAATGGGGGAAAATAGCACGCGCAGGGATTTTTATTTGCTTTGCAGTTACTATTTGCTCAAAGCAGGTGGCCGGTGTAGTTTCTCACTAATCCCGTGTGCATTTTTTCCACAATCTGGGCACTAAGAGAGCCCTGGAAAGGTCTGCTGGAGCCCTTTGGAAGCGCTGGCCTCCAGGGGTAGGGCTCTGTTAAGTCCAGCCTTGCCCCTGGGTTGTGCAGTCCTTACAAAACAAGGACACAAAATAGCTTTTGGCCAAGTTAGGATTTTATTTGGGTAGGGGATGGTTCACCTCATCTATAGGAGAAGTATGCACTGGTGCTCGATGTTGGTTTTAGATGTCCCTTCACACCAGGCAGTCATGAGGGAACCATTTTTCACAATCCAAATGCGTTGTAGTGCAACAGAATAGAAATAAAAGTAATCCATGGTTATTTTCTACTTATGATTTAATTTCGACAGATCTTTCTTTGTAGCAGCTGCTGATTGAAGCATTTCTAACCAGTAAAGGTTTAGTTCCTAGACATTTTAGCCCAAGATTTGAGTTTACGGGAAAATGATTAAGATTATAAACTGAATACTTAGGAGTTTTCTCATTCAAATTCGGGTTTTTTTTCTTTAGGACTTTCATGAGAGTATCCTAATGAAGATATTTATCCTATCTTTTTTTCTACTAGATGATCTCCTGCATTTTGGAAATGCTAGTGCTAAACAGACATGGCTAGGCATAGCCATGTTGTGAACAGAGGCTGGTAATGACAACCTCGGTTTTAACTTCCAATAAACAAGTTGCTAATTGCTAAGAAAACACACTCCTTCATGAGAGGGCACAGTTCTATCCTTAGGTTATGGTTTTATGCAGTATGGCAAGGCAGAGGAATAGTTTGCTGCCACCCAAAGGGAGTAGTCAGAGGAAAGATCCCCCATTCTTCACCTTCTGAGCCAGTTACTTTTTGCCAGGTCTGTCATCCATCAGCCCTTCTTGTGCACCACTTCTGCCTCACTATCAGCAGAAAACATAGTAACAGACAAAAAAGGGTCATTTTCTGTCAGGTTATCAAGCCAAATGGGAGCACTGAAAAGTCTGAGAAGTGCCAAGGCTTTAACAAGGTAAGAGGCAACCAGAGGAAAAAAAACCAAAAAAACCACCAGAGGAGAGCTTTACCTTCCACTTTGTATCAGCAGAGAGCTGTTGTAGCCATGGCTCTGCAGCCTCAGCATGGAGCTTCATCATCTGCCCCAAACTTACAATTTGTAAATTGGCATTAATATTAATACTTCATGCAAATGTACAAAGAAGAAATGCATGCAAGTGATGATAGATAACTGAAGACCAGACTCCTCACTAACCAAAATACACAGTGTGATGATGGGTTTTAAAAGCCTGAGAGTCACTAAGAGTTACATATCCTTCTGGTGAATGTGGAGGGAGGGTTGGGTAGGTTTGTGAAGCCTTTCTGGTTAGTGCTTCTGCCTTCTGTACCAGCTGGACAGGTCTAGAAAACAATGGTTTCTTACACAAGGAGTCAAGAATCTGGCACAGCATTGCATTTTTACTGTGGTTTCTCTTAAGAGATTTATAATAAATGACTGAAAAGCAGAGACCTCAACTTTACTAATCACCATGTTGGCAGGATTCTGGTTTCGAGAAGCAGCTGTTACAATAAGGAAGGTGAAAGAAGACTGAAGTGCACCCTGTTTGTGTTGCACAAGCACATCGTTATAGTCAGGGATCCAGGGATATGGATTTTAAATTAGCCTGCTAGGTGGTGCTATAGGACATGCTCTACATTACTGACCCAGGAATATGGTATGAGTTCTCTCAAATGTTTTACCATAAGACATATAGGTACCTACCATCACCTGCCTCTATTACTTAATCTCTGTATATGAAGTTTTGCTGCTATGTTAGGAAAAAGGTTGGCATTTAAGTACAGAACTCAAAGTCATTCATTTTGCTTAAGATTTCTATGGTCTCACAGTCTATTTTGCTTACGTGATTTCCAAAGTAAATGTGGTCAGTCAGTGAGCATCCACCAGTCTAAGATGTATATATTTCTCCTCCTGACATCTCCTTCCTCTATGGAGTCCATTTACCTGATTTATCTGCCCTTTTAGGCAAGTTTTGCCGTAATCCAGCCTCTAGAAATGAGCTTTAATGGAGAGTACCATGAAGAGCCTTGTAATTCTGGCCCAAGTTTATGCAACATTGTGTGTTCCAGGTGTCAGATGGAAGAAACACTGCAAGAGTCAGGGACTAGGAAAACGCACCGTGTGAGTGTATGACTATAGAGTAACCTTGATAGCAGGAAGAGAGAGATTTTAAAGTCTGCAGGACACGGATCATTGGCCAATTACCTGTGGAAGCAATCATGATAAACAGGTGACTGGACAGTGTAGACATTAGGGGTTTTTGCAAGGCATGAGGACAGAGAAGTCTGATGAATAACAGAGGAAACATTAGAGAGCAGAAAGATCCTGGAGCGATATGTGTTGGCAGATCTGGGGAAAATCTTGTTGTGGAGAAAGGGCATAACATGTCAACCTGCTGTTTGGTGCAGCTCCCTGGCCCAGTTTTCAGTATTGCTGACTCAGTGCTTCAATAATGAGCGGTGAGCATGGGCAGGAGCAGTGCAATGCTCTTAAGCAAAACATATGCTTTGAAAATACCTCTGCTAAGGTGACTTACAGTGGCCTGTTCTGGAGGTACTTCCAATTCAGCAGAAGGCAGCAGACAATGCATTGAAAAATGATGGATTCAGTGACCAATTAAGTTCTTGACAGGTGTGAAAGGTCAAGCCTGTTCGTACTTAAATGGTTCTCTTACTGCACTGAAGGGAAAGAAAAGCTTATGGCGAAATGGCTTTCCAGCCTGTCACTCTGAACAAGTTGCACATCTCCAAATTGCAGCTAATAGCCCAGCGACAGTGGGATTGAAGTGTGCGCAGCATCGAGCAAAAGCTCAAAGCTGTTGCCATCTCAGCAATTTCAGTTGCTGAAAAGGGAAGATATCAGCCAGTATGGATAACATATCCTTGTGTGTCCCATTCCCACTTCTCATCTTACAGTTGATGTGGGGTAGAACTGTAAATTTTGCCTGTACCCTAGGATTTTGCTACAGGCTCAGATAGCACAGGTTAGAAGCCACATTTTCCTTTGTGTAGTGGGTTTTCGTGACATGGTTTGGCTGGAATGCCAGTCTTATGCTGATAATCAAAGCCATGTGTAAGAAGTAGTAGAATAAAAAGCTTCACAGTTCCTTGTTAAACCTCTTCTGCCAAAAAAGATGATCTATTTGCAACAATTTATCTTATTCCTGGGGTATGCATATGTTCTTAAAGATAAATACATACCTTGTGCTGCCTGCTCAAAATGGGTGATATAGACAAGCATAATAAAGGTTGAACATTCAGAAACACAGCTGTGGGAATAAGGAATTCTATTTCTGGCCTCAAATCAAACCTTCAAACATCAGTATTCAAAAAGGACTGAAAAGATAAGTAATTTTGTTGTTGGTACTGGCAGGTATATAGATCAAAGTAAAGCAGAATCTTTAGAGGATCTGGGAAGATATTTTTTTCCTAATGTAGCACAGCTTAGAACTGGTCAGGGATGAAAAGCTTGTGTTTCAGAAGGCAGCAGAGAGGCTGTAAGGCATTTGGCTGGCTATACAACTCTGTGGGACTGACTTCTGTTTCCAGAGTTTTTGAAATATTCATCTGCTGGTCTAGATCTTCCTAAAACTTAGGCTGCCTGTTTGTGGTGGCAGACGTGGAAAAGGGAAGATATGCAGGGTTTTATCATTTTGCTATTGCATTTTCAGTTCCAGGGACTGATTGTACAAGCTCCCTCAGCTCTATCTGGGTGTAGCAGAAGTTGATGATAAAAGACTGAGCATCCTGTGAAGTAAAAATCTTTCCCTCAAACAGGACTCCTTAAAATGTAATCATCAAAAAATCCTTGATCTGAAAGTACTTTGCAACCTTTGATGAGACTAGCAAACACATATCCATTTTGGGGATATGGTTTAGGGTTGACAGCGGTGGTGCTAGGTTGACTGTTGGACTAGAGGATCTTGAAGATCTCTTCCAACCTTGATGATTCTGTGATATCCAGGTGAACATGAATGCTAGTGGAAAAATCTGGATACCAGCAGCAGAGATTCGAGAAGCAAAAGCACTTACAGATTCTGGTCAAATCAATTCATGCTGAACTCCATGGTCCTGCAAGTAGTCTACAGCTATTTAAACTGCTTCAGGTCTATCCACACTGTGCAGAGAGACCCTATACCACATTGCATTTTACACTGCATTAGGGTCTACTTGTATTACAGATGCCATTTGGTGAAATCAAAGTCACAAATATAAGTTCATTGTCTAGCAGGGGATTTCTTGCCAGTGCATATGAGCCAAGCTTTCTATCAGAACAATTGTTCATTATCTATAACTAATATAGCCTTTACTTTTAAGAGCTTTAGTCCTGCAATTAGCTGGCTCTCCTAAAAGGTAATTTTAGTGAGTTAAGATGTCACATGTCTTCACAATACAGTTAATTAGCACCATTTCCCTTCAGAATTGGAAGCAGTGTG